CTCTGAGCTTCGTGAACTTCCTGGAAATCTATTTCCTTCACCAGATTGGGGAAGTTCTCCTTTATTGTTTTCTCACATAAGTTTTCAATTTCTTGCTCTTCCTCTTCTCCTTCTGGCACCCCTATGATTCAGATGTTGGAATACTTAAAGTTGTCCTGGGGATTCCCAAGCCTCTCCTCATTTTTTTGAATTTTTATTTTTTCATTATCTTCAAGTTGAATGTTTATTTCTTCCTTCTATTTTTTAGATTCTATCTTATTTCCTTCTGCTTTGATCTTTATTATTTCCTTCTATTCACTTTGGGCTTTGTTTGTTATTTTTCTAGTTCTTTTAAGTGCAAAATTAGATTGTTTATTTGAGATTTTTCTTGTGTCTTGAGATAGGCCTGTAATGCTATAAATTTCCCTATTTGAACTGCTTTCACTGTTTCCCTTAAAATTTGGGTTGTTATGTTCTCATTTTCATTTGTTTCAAGGTATCTTTTGATTTCTTACTTGGTCTCATTGTTAACACGTTCATTTTTTAGTAACTGTCCTTTAGCTTCCATGTCTTTGTGCATTTTTTTAGTTTTTTCCTCATGATTGATTTGTAGTTTTACACCATTATGGTCAGAGAAGATGCTTGATATGATTTCAATCTTCTTAAATTTTTTGGAACCTGTTTTGTGTCCTCACATATGGTCTATCCTAGAAAATGTTCCATTTGCACTTAAAAATTATGTGTATTTTGCTGGTTGGGGCTGAAATGCTCTGAAAATATCAATTAAATCAACCTGATCTAGTGTATCATTTAAGGCTGCTATTTCTTGTTGATTTTCTGTATGGAAGATCTATCCATTGATGTATATGGGATTTTAAAATCCCCTACCATGACTGTATTACTGCCAATCTCTCCCTTTATATCCATCAAGATTTGTTTTATATATTTAGGTGCTCCTATGTTGGGTGCATAAATGTTTATGAGTGTTATATCCTCTTGTTGGATTGCTACCTTTATCATTATGTAGTGTCTTTCTTTGTCACTTACTATAGGGTTTTTTTTCACTCAATCCATCCATCCCTCCACCTAGCCCCCACACCCACCCCACAACAGCTGTCAGCCAGCTCTTTCTCTATAGTCTCTCTCTACTTAATCAGATATAAGTATTGCTAACCCCAGTTTTTTGTTCTATTTCCACTTGCATGATATATCATTTTCCATCCTTTACTTTTAGTCTCTATCTTTCATTCTGAGGTGCATCTATTTTAGACTGCATATATATTGGTCTTGTTTTCTTTTACATTCAAGTACCCTATGTCTTTTTATTGGACCATTTAAGACATTTATATGTAAAGTGATTATTGATAGATACACATCCATTGCCATTTTATTCTTTTAACAATGTTCCTCTGGTTTTCCTCTTCCTCCTCCTCCTCCTACATTTTCTTCTTCAAGAAGACCCTTTAACATTTTATGTAATAATGGTTTGTGGCAACAAACTCCTTTAGCTTTTTCTTCTTTGTGAAGCTTTTTATTTGTCCTTCAATTTCAAATATTAGCTTTGCTGGGCAAAGTAGTCTTGGTCATAGGTCCTTGCTGTTCATCACTTTGGATATTTCATGCCAGTCTGTTCCAGCCTGAAAAGTTTCTGTTGAGAAATCAGCTGACTGTTTATGGGAACTCCCCTGTAGGTAACTAACTTTCTGTGTGGCATTTAAACTTCTCTCTTTGTTTTTAATCTTTGCCATTTTAATTATGATGTGTCTTGGTGTGGGCCTCTTTCAGTTTATCTTGTTTGGGACTCCCAGCAATTCCTGGATTGGTGTTTCTTTTTCCTTCTCCAGGTTAGGGAAGTTTTCTGTCATTGTTTCTTCTAATACAGTCTCAACACCATGCTCTCTCTCTCTCTTCTCCTTCTGGTACCCCTATGATGTGGATATTATGTTTCATGTTGTCTCAGAAGTCCCTTAAACTATCCTTATTTTTTAATTCTTTTTTCAATTTTGCTTCTCTGACTGGGTGTTTTCTGCTACCTTGTGTTCCAAATTGCTGCTTTGATCCTCTGCTTCATTCAACCTGCTGTTTATTCCCTCATTTCAGATACTGTATTCTTCATTTCTGACTGTTTCTATTTTTTTGTTTCTATTTGTTTAATGCTTGCTATCTCTTTATTGACATCCTCACTAGTTACTTGAGCATCCTTATAACCATTTTTTTGAACTTTATATCTGGTACATTGCTTGCCTCCATTTCATTTAGCTCTTTTTCTGGATATTTATCCTGTTCTTTTATTTGAGACCTATTTCTTTGTCTCACCATGTTGGCTGCCCTTTTATGTTTGTTTCTGTGTATTAGGTAGATCTTCTATAACTCCCAGTCTTGGTAGGGTGACCTTATGTAGTAGGAATCCTGTGGTATCCAGTGGTGTAGTTTCTTGATCACCTAATCTTGGTGCTCCAGAAATGTCCCTTATATGGGTTATATGTTTCCTTCTGTTTTAATCAGGTCTAATTACTATTTCCCCATTCATGTATGGGGTTGACCCTCAGGCTGGCTGACTGTGAGGATCAACCAAAACCACAGTGTATGAGCTGCTGTGCAGGTGCTGACCATATGAAGCAGAATTCACCTCAGCAGGGTGTGGTGCCTGCCATGATCTTTCTTTGGATATGCCACTTGTGAAGCTAATTGGATCCTGCTCTGATGTTGAGTAAAGTTGGCCACTGGTTGTATTTGTTCTGGAGCCTCTAGAGGGGGGGACTCTGGTGCTGGGCAGTATCTGACTCCACCTGTAACTGGCCCTGGCAACCTGTTCAGAGCTACAAAATGTTCCACAGTTTTGGGCTGCCTCTGCTGGGCCTAGTTGTGTGCAGGAAGGACCAAACTCTGCACAAGGGGCAGTTTTTATTATCACTGGGCCCAGGGGCAGGGGAAAGTCAGGAAAAGTTCCAAGGTACCCCGGGATCTGCCTCTGGATGCCTCTGCCAGTCAGTTGCTTGATAACCTCAGTCACTGAAAGAGCCTCTGTTGGTATTCAACGTGCATGAGGTAGGTCTCAATGAGTCACCATGTAAGGGTGTTCACTAGATTGATACAGGTTCAAACTCAGTTCCCATACTGGGTCTGAAGCCACTCAGCAAATGTCCCTGGGTATACCAAATCTAGCTGCCACCCACTGGGTGCTACAGACTTTTGTGATGGGGCTGGTTCTCAGGGAGGCATCACCATGAGGCCAGCAGAGTTTATCAAGCCCAAACAGACCAAGATTTGGCCATATGAATGAAGGGCTGTGTTCCAATTGGACATGTGAAGGAAAAATGACCCCCATCCTATATCCACACATTTCAGTCTGTCCAAGATTATGCCAGAAGCCTGAGCTCAGCAAGGGAGGAAGAATGGGGAGTCTGGAGGATGGGGCTAGTGAATCTCCTGTGAGGAGAAGGATAGGATATATTTAGACAGTAGGACCTCTATAGCTCTATTTACCTATATTTACATATACACAGTTAATAAAGTAAGCTGTAACTCACAGACATGTGTGAGTACATAATTTATATTGCAAAAATATTATTGCCTCCTTTAAGCTTATTATAGGGAACTCCATTTTTTCCCATTAGTTATTTGATATGCATTGCCCTCAAAACCTTTAGCTTTTTGTCCTTGCCATTCTAGCTCTGAAATTGCTAGATGTCCACTATTTCAGGTCTTTTAGATCATTTTAAATAGGGCTTCATAATTTACCTTAAGCTTATGTTGTTTTTCTTTGTTTTTGTATATAATATATCATGACATCTCAGATAGACAGATACATAAATAATCAACTTCTATCAAAATATTAATTAAATTAGAGGGATGAGACCTTGTATTATGATAAAATACACCTAATATAAAATTTGCCTATTACATATAAAAATTTGACTATTACACATAAAACTACTGGAATTTAGTACATTCATAATGTTGTGTAACCATCACCAATATATAATTCCAGAACATGTTCATCAGCCCAAAGGAAATCCATACTCATTTAAAAGTCACTCTTCTTTTCTTTCTCCCCAGCCTCTTGCAACCACCCATCTGTTTTCAGTCTCTATGGATTTTCCAATTCTGGATATCTCACATAAAAATCCTACAATAGGTGGCTTTTTGTACCTGGCTTCTTTCTCTTAGTTTAATGATTTCAAGGTTCATCCTTGAAATAGTACTTAATTCCTTTTTATGGCTGAATAATATTCCATTCTATGGATGTACTACATTTGGGTTATCTATTCACTAGTTTATATGCATTTGGGTGGTTTTCTCTTTTGGCCATTGTGAATACTACTACTGTGAACAAAAACATTATGTGCATATTTTTGTTTAAACACCTGTTTTTAATGCTCTTGGGTATATATCCAGGAGTATAATGTCTGGGGCTTGTGGTAATTGAAGTGAATCATTTTCAAGTGAAATCTTACCAAACTAATAAATATTCCCATTTTATGTGGAAGAAAGATTCTTATTTCTCTTATGTAACAACCTTTCTAGACTCCTATATTTCTCTAGGAAGTGTAACTATCACTATGTGGTATGGGAGCTTATACCAGTAGACTACCAGATGGCATCATCTACCTGTACCTAACATAAAAACTAAACTTTTTTATACAAAGGGCCCACTGATATAAAGGCAGTTGAAGGTCTTCAACTTGAGCAGGTACACTGGAATGCACCTTCAGACAATGAAGGCTACAGGCAAGTAACTGAAGTATTTCTATATAGCTTTTCAGTCAGATAGATGTTAGTCAAATTAGAAACTATTGGGTCACTCGCTAAACTTCCATGTATTTCAGTTACTTTATCTGTAAAATGTTGGTAATGATCCCTGCTACTCAAGATTGTTATGAGGAAAGGGCGTATCCTGGCACATTAAGTCCCAACTGGGACTTAATAAATATTAGTTCTCATTTCCCTATATTTTCTTATACTCTCCAAATTAAGTGTTCTTCAAGACCACAGCATTTTCTTCTCATTTTCTCTTTCAGGTTAAAATTAAACTGCCAAATACAAACCCTTCTGAGATTAGAATTAATGTCCAGGAAATGATCCTTGACCTTTGTACTCCTGATAAGTGAGTAAAACTTAGAACTAGAATACTGTATTATAATATTAATGAATTTTTAGTCAATATTCTTTTTTTAAATGTACATAGTTATTTTGCATCATCCATGAAGTCTGATGAAAAGTTAAAAAACCAGCTAATCATTCAGATCTTTGATCTACATAATATAAACATGAATGTATTTGGGAATACCTAGATTTTTTTCTACTGTGCATTTGTACATTTGGAGTAGGTTGATATCACCAAAACACAGTCCTTGACATTAAAATTGGTTGGCTTATCTGTCAGGAAAAATAACTAGAGGTGAAAATCCCTTAAATTGTAAGTCTTGCGTATGTTTTTTGTACAGTGATGTCATAAGAGAAACAATATCTTTAAATGTGTTGGATATTGTGGGGCTCTAAGATAAATTTAGTTATATTCATCTAAAAATCAACAAAATTTCTTGTCATCAATTACTTAAAACAAAAATTCTAAGAGCTAATTTATCACTAGATCCTCAAGTTGTATGAATACAATTATTTGTATGAATACTATTATTTTAAAATAATACATATGATACAGATGATAATATAATGATTCAATTAAATATTTTGATATTTTCAAAATAATCTTTTTTAAATATTTATTTACATATTTATTTTGAGAGAGAGGGGAAGGAAGGGAGAAAGAGAGGAAGAGAAACATCAATGTGTGATTGCCTCTCACACTTCCCCTACTGGGGACCTGGCCTCCAACCCAGGCATGTGCCCCAACTGGGAATTGAATTGGCAACCCTTTGGTTCACAGGCTGGCACCCAATCCACAGATCCACACCAGCCAGGGCTCAAAGTAGTCTTTTTACTACACAAGTTCAAATCATGTTCCAAAAACAGAGGACAAACAGTAAAAAATAATGTAAAATGTTTATCCTGAAACCCATATGAATCAGTCCTGTTTCTCAAAATTAATGCTATAAAGAGGGAATCGATGGAACCTGGTGTGTGCCAGATAAAATATCTAAATATCTCACTGCTTTGTTCACTTTCATCTGGATATATAGCAGTGAGCACACTCTGGTTGACTACAGTGGCCTTTCTTCATAACTCATCAACATTTTTAATTGGGTGTGAGGAGCTGTCAACTACTGACACGTTCTCTTCTTTCCATTATCAGTACCTGTAGCTCTACTTTGTTGATATTAGAGCTTGAAAAAAAAAGTGGATCCCTCATACAAATGACTTATATGTGTAAACAACACAATGTATACACATAGCTTAACCTTGATTTCTACACTAGATGCATTTAACCCAAAATGATCTTCAGATGAATACCCAATGAGAAAATAGCAAATATTTCTCATTATTTATATAGTAATTTCAAAAATGTATCCTCATGTTTGTCTCATGTTATAAAAATTATATTGACTGTTCTTAACATTCACTTCAAGGAGTATTGGAATTTTTTCATTGCATATTATACACACATTTATTCTTGCACCCAACCTTTGCAAGGAAAGTTAGTAAAATGGACAATCTTCCATTATATTTGTGTGCATGTTAAAGTACACACATATCTAACACCATGGAGTTAATTTCCATTCCTCTAGCAGTTCTCATTTTCCTCATCAATCTTTAGGCAGCTGCTCTTGGTGCTGTCATTCCAGATATCTATGAGATCCTACTAAATGAAAGACTCACACAGATACACATTTCCGTATAGAATGTGGGCTGCATTAGGTCATTTGAATCATACTGTACTCATATATTAAATGACCACTTCAGAGAAGTACTGGCTTTAAGGGAAAAAATCATTAAGATAGAAGACAAAAGACAGAATTAGGTTTTTACCTTATTTCTTAAACACAGGAGCATTCTCTGAAGCCATACTATTCACTAAAATTATATTGTTGGAAAAATGTCTTGTTTTCTTTTTTCTTTTTGTGGTTTGTATTTAGAGCATCTCAGCTATTATATAATCTGCAATTAAATTTATTTATAAATATATTAATCCATTAAATCAGATGATATAATACTTCCCTATTATTCTAGCTAATCATACCAAGGGCAAAAAACTAATAGAAGTCAGGACCTGGCCTGGACTACTACTATCCGTGTTCTACCAGCTAAAACTCTGAACCAGAAGGTCTTTATGAGAATGATTTTTAAACTCCCTGTCCATCCCCAATTGACTTGAAGATATAATCCTACTTCATACACATGGATACTGAGTCATACACAGGGCCTTAGCAATTCTAATGCCAATAACCTACTTTTGATCCAGAGTTTTCTGTTTTCTTTTTCTGTTATCTTATTTTCTTAAATTTTAAAAAATATATTTTATTGATTATGGTATTACAGTTTTTCCATTTTCCTCCTTTTATTCCCCTCCATCCTGCATGTCCCCTCCCACCTGCATTTCCCTACTTTACTTTACATCTATGGGTTGTATATATAAGTTCTTTGGCTTCTCCATTTCCTATACTATTCTTAACCTCTCCCTGTCTATTTTATACCTGCCATTTATGCATCTTATTCCCTGTACCTTTTCCCACATTCTCCCTTATTCCCCGCCTTGCTGATAAACCCCATGTAATCTCCCTTTCTGTGATTCTATTCCCATTCTAGTTGTTTGCATAGTTGTTTTTGTTTATGTATTTCTTTAGGCTCAGTTGTTGATAGTTGTGAATTTGCTGAAATTTTAACGTTCATATTTTTGATCATCTTCTTTTTCTTAGATAAATCCCTTTAACATTTCATATAATATGGACTTGGTGATGATGTACTTGTTTAACTTGACCTTATCTGGGAAGCACTTTATCTGCCCTTCTATTCTAAATGATAGTTTCTCTGGATAGAGTAATCTTGGATGTAGGTCCTTGCCTTTCATGACTTTGAAAATTTCTTTCCAGCCCCTTCTTGCCCGCAAAGTTTCTTTGGAGAAATCAGCTGAGAGTCTTATGAGAACTCCTTTGTAGGTAACTGTCTCCTTTTCTCTGGCTGCTTTTAAGATTATCTCCTTATCTTTAATTTTGGGTAATGTAATTATAATGTGCTTTGGTGTATGCTTCCTTGAGTCCAACTTCTTTGGGACTCTGAGCTTCCTGGACTTCCTGGAAGTCTATTCCCTTCTCCAGATTGGGGAAGTTCTCCTTCATTATTTTCTCAATTTCTTGCTTTTCCTCTTCTCTTTCTGGCACCCCTATGATTTGAATGTTGGAACATTTAAAGTTGTCCTGGAGGTTCCTAAGCCTCTTCTCATTTTTTTAAAAGATTTTATTTATTTTTAGAGAGGGAAGGGAGAGAGAAAGAGAGAGAGAGAAACATCAATGTGCGGTTGCTGGGGGCCATGGCCTGCAACCTAGGCATGTGCCCTGACTGGGAATCGAACCTGCGATGCCTGGTTCCCAGCCCATGCTCAATCCACTGAGCTATGCCAGCCAGGGCTTCTCCTCATTTTTTGAATTGAAATTTCTTCCTTCTTTTCTGGTTGAATGTTTATTTCTTCCTTCTCCAAGTTACTGATTCGATTCCTGGTTTCTTTCCCTTCACTGTTGGTTCCCTATACATTTCTCTTCATTTCACTTTGCATAGCCTTCACTATTTCCTCAATTTTGCAATGATACTGAACTATTTCTGTGAGCATCCTTATTACCAGTGTTTTGAACTTTGCATCTGAAAGGTTGGCTGTCTCTTCATTGTTTAGTTCTATTTGGGGAGCTTTGATCTATTCTTTCATTTGGGACATAATTTTTAGTCTTGGTGCAGCTGTTATATTATAGGGGGCAGAGCTTTAGGTATTTGCCAGGGCAGAGCAACCCAGTATCTGTGTTGTGCTACTATATGTGGGGGAGGGGTCCGAGAGGTAACAATACCATTTGCTCAGCTCTCGGCAGGCTTCCAGTCACCTCCTCCACTACTCACAAGCATATTCAGCCCTTCTCGTGCTGATTTTTAGGTGGGTGGTTTTGTGTATGTTCTAGGACCCTGTGGGTATCTCCAATGAATTCTGTGAAGCTGGAAGTTTCTCGTGCCACTGCAAGGCCCACTGGTTTTTACAGCCAGAGGTTTTTAGGTATTTCCCCACACTGGAACCCTTGGGTTACTACCAGCCGCCACCTTGACCATTCTGATGTGCCAGCCAGTGCCTTGCCCACCCAGTCTTCCATCCGATGCCTTGCATGAATTCTTTCCACCCCTCCTTCCAGTCTGAATGAATGTTTCTTCTTTAACTCCTTGGTTGTCAGACTTATATACAGTTCCATTTTCTCACAATTCTGGTTGTTTTTTGCTTCTAAATGTGTTGCTCTCCTTCTATTGGTTATGCACAGAGGCAAAGTATGTCTACCTCTGTCTTCATATATGCCAGAAGTGATCTGTGTCTTCTTTTTGAATTTATTTACATTCACATGTGTACTTTCTTTTGTTTCTGACTTTCACATCCTGTAAAACTATGTTTACATGCTTTAAGAAAGATAAGAGAAGACATTTTGTTCATAGGGCAGAGAACATGTGAATTCATTTTAACTGAATGGACTACTAATATCAGTCAAATGACAATTACATTGTAATTATTAATAGTACCCAGATATTTAACATTATTCAACCAAAAGAAATAAACACTTTATTTAATTCACAAAACTCTCCGTTTTGGCCAGCTAGTGAAACAGAAGCCATAATCAAAAAAACTCCCAGAACACACAAGACAGTTTCACAGGAGAATTTTACAAAACTTTTCAGGATCAGCTAACCCCTAGCCTTCTCAGACTATTCAAAAAAAACAAATAAGAGAGAGACCCCAAAACATTTTTATGAGGTCAGCATCATCCTAATCCCAAAACTAGATAAAGACACAACAAAGGAAGAATACTACACGCCAATATTGCTAATAAACCTAGATGCTAAAGTCCTTAACAAAATATTGGCAAACTGTATCCAGCAATACATTAAAAAGATCATACCCCATGATCAAGTGGGATTCATCCCAGGGATGCAAGGATGGTACAATATTCACAAACCAATAAATGTAAT